AGGTGCCTGTTTGTGCCCTTTGAACCATCACACTCCAGGCAAGCCCAGATAAAGAAGACAACCTTAGGGCAGGATACAGAGCTGGTTTACTGGGGAAAATCTCCTACAGGAGAACTGCCACTGTCTCCCTCTGCCTTGGGCTGACCATGTGGGAAGCACTTGGAATATTTCAATCCCTCTCTGTAGACTGTAACCAGTCCTAATTTGTGCATTTCTAGCTCAGCAGAGAGCACAGTGGCTGCTGCTGAGGGCTAAACAGGGGTCAGGGAGCAATACTACTATCTGTGAATTATTTATGCACTGGAGCCTGGGGATTTGGGGTCATGGCCACGGTAAGAGAATATTCTGGGTCACCCCTCCTTGCTAGAGAAAAACAGCTTTGCAACCAAACAACTGATACTCCTTGTTCAAAGATTCCTTAGCTCATCCCCATCCTGAAAGTAAAGCAAATACTCTGCCCACTTAAGAAATGCTTGAGAAAAAATAAAAACCTGACAAACTGATGAAAACAAACCATCCTCACAAATGCAGACAGAGAGCATCAACATAATATCGCTGGCTACAACTCTCAGAAATCAGCCCCAGCTTCTAGCTGGAGCTCAGCAATAGTTCTGGCTGTGGAGCTCCAAAGCAAACCCAGCCAAGAGGTAATTCTGTATGATCAGGCTGAAAGATCCTAAAACCATTAAAAATCAGTTCAGTTCAAAGCATTACAAACGCTTGTGCAAAATATGAATATTTCAGCTGCTGTTTTTCAAAGCTCTTCCACTTACTGCTCTCAGAAACAACCGTCTCAGTCACTGCCACTGCTGAGCCCAGAATCCCAGCAGTGCCTTGCTTTAAAGGGATGTTGTAGTGCCTGGAAACAAGAGCTGATTCCAGCTCTGAGCTGCACATGCACATCTCTGTGCACAGCCAGCCTTTCATTTCACAGGAGAGTGACAGTTCTCCGGTGAATTTGTAAACCCTCCTTCTATCAAAAGACATTAAATGAGCCCTGCCTCCCTCCAAATGATCTTTCTGACTGAGTTAATAAGGATTTTCTGTAAAAGCTGGATGAGAAATGAGCAGAGAAATAACATCTACACACAGCACCTCTATCCGACCATTCACGAGGAAATAAAATTTACAGTGTGATCTTGCTCGTGGTGAAGTGCAGGCAAGTCTTGCTTAATCTTCCCTGAATGTGGGGTACTGGTCCTAAGGGGCTGTTTCCAGCCCTCTGTAGCAGTTTCTGTTTGTTCTGCTGCTCTCCTCCTCATCCCAGAGGTTTTGCTGGGATGCACTCGCCACCACTACGCTGAATTATTCTGGAACTTACACTTCACTCCAATAGACACAGCCTCAAACAAATAGAAATATCTGAGCACATCCTGATTCCCTCCTTCCCTGTTAGTCCTCAGGAGCTGACAGAGACAAAGACAAACCATTGCACTCCTCGTATTTATGTTCTGCTTAGACCACTGAGAGCGTTTTTCCTCAGCCTGATGCAGCCTCTGGCACTTCATAATATTTAAACCATCGTGCAGTGTTGATCAAGTTCAGGTAACACAGCTCTGAAAGGTATAATCTGTTACCAGCTATCATATTATAGAAGTCAATCAACTCCTGAAAATGCTCTGGAAGTCAAGCTTCCCGAGCACTCAATCTGCCATTCATAACTCTGCACACAGGTGAATCATTTCAGCAGAACTTCTCTAAATAAAGCAAAGCAAGCATCAAAGACATGAAAACATCAGGAATAATCCAGACAAGTCTGGCAAGGCTGTCTCTGATTTCCAAGGGTGAAGGATTCGGCCCTGTAGCACGCTGTAGCTGGAGCAGAAGTAACATATGGACATCCAACCCAGATTTCCAAATTTAGTGTGAAGATAAGGCCCAGGCAAAGTTGCCTCGAAGCCAGAAGAGCTGGGCAGCTGGGGAACCAGCCCTCAGTTAACAGAAAACTTAAAGGAGCCTCTTTTCTGGCTGAGCCACTCTCAGGACCCCTCCCCACACCGCAGTTGGGTCTGGTTTTCAGCACCATAGAGGTATTTCCTTGTGAGACCAGGGGCAGGTGGGGTTTGGGATGGAATATGTGGGTCAGACTCTCAGCAAGTGTAAACCAGCCTGGCCTCACTGCAGGCACGTCCATTCTCAGGGAGGAGTCTAAATAAAACACATCTCCCCAAATACATAAAAACTGCGTCACTCATCTCTTTTTCTTTGTAAAAACCTCCACTTTCTTTCTCCAGTCTCTGTTAACTGCAACCGGAGTTCAGCCTTAAAAATATGGTCAATGATTTTAATAGTTTTGACTAACAATTCCAAATTAAAATAATTTTTATGAAGCATTATCTGCCAGAGATAGTCCTTCCCCACTCACAGTGTTCTTATAAAGGAGTCTCTCACCGATTTTTACGTTCAGACACGAGCCCCCGTGGATTGGATTCTCGGCACGCAAGGAGCACTCATCATTTGGAGGGACTTTTTCATCATAAAATAAATATGAACTGAGAGAGTAGATGCATTTGTCCAAAATGAGAATTGCTACAGCAGCCTGAGCTTTTGCTTTGAAACAGAATTTTCTCTGACACGTCGAGTGTTCTCAGACATGTGTAACAGCACTGCTGAGGGGACCCCAAACTACTCCTACACCAGCAAGGACAGAGTTAGCAGGGTTTAGAGGGGATAAAATAAGAAATAAAAAAGGACAGATGCAGAGCTCTCCCCACCACCAGCGCTTTCCCACACAGCCCTTGGCACCACGAGGCAAAGGCACCATCTGGGGGGGCAGAGCCGTCCCCTCCACACTTCCTAAACTTCTCCTGGCTGGGCCAGGCAGGGCAGGATCCACAGGGGCCAAGGGGCTCTGCTGCCCCCGGGGGCGGGGGGGTGCAGGGGGCCGGGGGAGATGTAGGGGAGTTTTGGGGGCCAGGAGGGGCGTGGCAGGGGGAAGGAGGGAAGTGCCAGGGGGGAAAAAGGACAGGAGGGGGGGTTTGGGGGGGGCAGGAAGGGCGTGCCGGGAGGGCCGGGGTGCAGGAGAGGTGCCAGAGTGCCCGAGTGCAGGAGGGGGTGCCCGGGGGCAGGAGGGAGGGTGAGCGGTGCTGGGGAGCAGGACGGGAGTGCCGGGGGGGCAATAGGGAGGTGTTGGAGGGCAGCAGGAGTGGGTACCAGGGGCAGGAGGGGCTGCCGGGGGGTAGAAAGGCGGTACCGTGGTGCCGAGGGGGAGGAGGGGAATGTCGGGGGACGGGAGGGGGGTGCCAGGGGATTGGAGGGGGGTCGTGCCCGGGTGCAGAGGGGTGTGCTGGAGTACCAGAGATCAGAGGGGGATGCCGGGGTACCAGCGTGCAGAGGGGGGTGCCGGGGGTGCCGGGATGCAGAGGGAGGTGCCGGGAGGAAGGAGAGGGGTGTCGGGGTGCCGGGATGTAGGGTGGGGGTGCCGGAATGCCGGAGGGGGCGGCTCCGCGGGGAGGGCCGGGCCGGGCGCTCGGCAGCGCGGAGCCGCCCATGGAACTGTCCATGGAACTGTCCATGGAACTGTCCATGGAACTGTCCGCGGTACCGTGCACGGAACTGCCCGCGTTACTGCCCATGGAACTGTCCGCGGTCCTGCCCGTGGAACCGTGCACGGAACTGTCCGCGGAGCCGGCGCCGAAGCCACGGGACGGCGACCCACGAATGGGGCCGTGGGGCAGCAGGACAGGCACCGAGGTGGGACGGGAGGGAGGCACCGAGAGGTGGGGGTGTCCCTGATAAGAGCGTGCAAAGGAGGAACTCCTGGAGAGAGGATGGAAAAGGAAAATCCTTTGATGTGTGGTGCAAAGAGAGAACTCTTGGACAGCCAGGGGAAAACCCTTGGGTGAGTGACTCAAGGGGGGACCCCTCGAAGCGACAGCACGATGGAAGATCGTTTGGACAGGTGGCACAAAAGGGGAGCCCTTAGACAGCCATGGCACTGGGGAAATCCGTGGAAGGTGGAGCAGGGGGAAACTCACGGTCGGCCAGTGCAAAGCACAAGGACTTGAATGGGTAGTTCAAAGGGACTCCTTGCACAGGTGGTGTAAAAACCGAACCCTCGGACAGGCAGTTCAAAGGTGGAATTCTTGGAAGGCTCACGCAATGAGGAAACTCTTGGACAGGCTGCACAAGTGGGAAACCCTTGGATGGGGAGTGCAACGAGGAAACCCTTGAGCAGACTTTGCAAAGGGGGAACGCTCAGAGAGGGAGGGGGCTGTCCCTGGCCGGGAGGGCGCTGGAGGCAGGGGAGGGGGCGCACCTGTGTATGTTCATCTCCCGGGGCGGGCGCCGTGCCTTGTCGTAGGCCACCTTGGCAAAGACGCCGGCGATGAGCACGAAGGCGATGGCCCCGCACGAGATGTAGACGGTGGCGTTGGTGCTGTCCTTGTCCGGGTCGTACTTGTTGGCGTCCCCGTCGCCGCCGTCGCCGCCGTCGGCGGGCAGGGCTCCGCTGGCCGTGGTGGGGTGGGCCCACTCGGGGCTCTTGTAGTTGCGGCACAAGCTCTGGTTGAGCTTCTCGGCGCGCTTGTTGCAGCAGAAGCGGTAGAAGCAGGTGCCGCAGCAGTAGCGGAAGCCCGTGAGGCTGTTGTTGCACTCGAACTCCTTGTCCCACTGCCCGCTCACGTCGTAGTACCCCCAGCACGTCTCGTGCGCCGGGGCCGAGCCCCCTCCGCCGCCCCCGCCCCCGGGGGGGCTCTTGCCGCCCCCCGCGCCTTTGCCGCGCCCGGGCAGCGCCGTGGGGGCGGCGACCCCGGGCCCCGCCAGCGTCTGGTTCAGGAGCTCCTTGCCCGGCTTGGGGGTCCGCCGCGCCGCCGCCGCCCCCTGGGTCCGGTTGCCCTTGGCGCGGGGGGGCCCGGCCGCCTGCGCGGGCAGCAGCAGCAGGGCCAGGAGCTGCAGGCAGAGCAGGAGCAGCGGCAGCAGCAGGTGCCGCGGCCCCATGGCGGGGGGCGAGCGGGGGGCGCGGGGCGCGGCGCGGGGGGCGAGGCGGGCGGCGCGGGGGGGGCTCAGCGGCCGCGGCGCTGCCCCATGGAGCGGGGTGGGGACGGGGCGGGCGGGGGTGGGATGCGGGCACGGGGGGGTCCCGCTGCTGCCGCGCGGCTCCTCAGCGGCGGCTGCCCGGCGCCGGGCGCTTCATGCCGGCGGGCGGCGAGCGGCGGAGCCCGGCGGAGCGGGGCTGGAGGCGGCGGGGTCCCGGCGCTGCTCCGGAGAGGGGCTGCGAGAGACGGGGAGAGGGTGAGAGCCCGCCGCGCCCCGGGCAGCCCGGCCCGCCCCCGCCCGCACGCCCCCCGCCCACGGCCTTACCATGCCGGAGCGGGACTGCAGCGGGGCCGCGGGGCTGCCCGCGCTCCCAGCGCGGCCGGGGGCGGAGCGGCGCCGGAGCCGGGCCGGGCGCGGAGCAGGGGCCGGGCAGAGCCGGGGAAGGACCGCCCACCGCTGCCGGGCCGCTCCTGACATCACCGGCAGCACCGGCACCGCGCCCGCACCGCGGGGAACCCGCGCTCAGCCCCGGACCGCGCGGGGCGGGAGCTCCGCACGCCCGCACCCGCACCCGCACCGGCACAGACCCGCCGGCCCCGGGGTGGCTCCGGCGGGGCGCGTGGGAACGCACCCGGAGCGGTGGCAGTGGCGTGGTCACTGTAGATGCGGCCCCTGTACCTGTCCCTGGGGATGTGGTCCCTGCGGGGATGGGCAAGGATGCTGTCCCTGTAAGTGTGTCTGCCCCTGTACCTGTCCCTGGGGATGTGGTCCCTGCGGGGATGGGCAAGGATGCTGTCCCTGTAAGTGTGTCTGCCCCTGTACCTGTCCCTGGGGATGTGGTCCCTGCGGGGATGGGCAAGGATGTCCCTGTAAGTGTGTCTGGCCCCTGTACCTGTCCATGGGGATGTGGTCCCTCTAGGGATGCAGTTACTAAAGGTGTGTATGGCCACTGTCCCTGTCCCTACAGACTTGGTCCCTGCAGGGATGTGTTCCCTATAGGTGTGTGATCTCTGTCCCTGGGGGTGTGGTCCCAGCAGGAATGAGCAGGAATGTGGTCGTTAATGGTGTATGTGGCCCCTCTACCTGTCCCTGTGGATGTGGTCCCTGCAGGGATGGGGTCCCTGTGTGTGGTCACTACACGTGTCCCTGGGGATGAGGTCCCTGCAGGGATAGGCAGGGATTTGCTCCTTATGGGTGTGTGTGGTGAGTGGCCCCTGTCCCTGGGGACAGGGGTGGACAGGGATGTGTTCCCGCTGGCTCAGCTGTGGGTACAGTCCCTCTGGAGGTGTAGGGACAGCAGCCCCCTCGTGGGCACAGAGGGGCCATGGTGGCTGTAGGTTTGCAGTCTGTATGGCCCCTCAGTGTGTGCACTGGGGATTGTTCCTGTAAGAGTTTATGGATCAATCTGAAGGTGGTCCCTGTGGGTGTCTGAGGGCTCCATAGACCCTGTAGGTGTGTGGAGTGTCAGGGATGCCCTGGACATGTGATATGTTCCCTGTCAGTGTGTGGGGGAGGCACAATCTTCATGGATACGCATGAGCAGGACCTATAAATGTGCACAAATTGTTTGGGCTGGGGGCCCCAGAGACACGTGCAGCCTCCCAGGGTTGGTGGAGTCCAGGGGTCTGTCCCACTCAGCTCAGGGGCAGAGCTCCCTCACCTCTCCAGAACCACAGAACACTGAGCTGGAAGGGACCCACAAGGACCATCAAATTCCAGCTCCTGGCTCTGCACAGGACACCCCAAGAATCCCACCATGTGCCTCCAGGAGGTTCCTGTCCCAGGGCAGCACAACCTGGTGCTGGGCAGACATTGTCCCCAGGGCTGTCAGGCCCCACCAGGGCCGTGCTGTCTCCCAGGCTCCACAGGGATTGCTACTCCAGCCTGGGGCCCTTGGCACCTCACTGAGCCCAGCTGAGTCTCAATTCTCTGCTGCAAAGGCTCAGGGTGGAGAAAGTGGCATCCCCCACCCCAACCTGTCTGAGACACTCCCCACTTCCAAGTGGGTCCCCTCCAGGGCAGCTCTGGGTGCTGCAGGGATGGGCTGGCAATGCCCTGGACTGGCCATGCCCAGTGACCCGGGCACAGCCACTACAGGTTTGGTTAAGGCAGTTTTGAGCAAAGTTCCTTCAGGCACAGAGAGTTCAGTGCTGTGAGCCAGGGCCACCAAGCCAGAATTTCCTCAAAGTCCTGGTGCCTCCCCTGTGTCCCATTGCAAACTAAACTAAAGCCTTTACAAACATTTCCTGAAGACATCCAAGGTGCTACCAGCTGGAAGGACACACAGAGGACAGAGAGGAATCACAGCAATGGAAGCACAAGAAGATGGGAACTGAAGTGATGCCCTGTAGCTGCACGCAAGTAGTTTTCAGGAGAGTGGGGAATGGGATGTAGGGGGAAGAAAGCAGTGGAAAGGGAGAACCATCCCTAAAAAATCCCCTGCCTACACTCTGTAAATCCTTTCTTCAAGTTACCAGAGGTTTGAATGCCCACAACTCATTTTATACTCTCTTAGGAGAGCCCATGGACTGACAGGTTGGCAAAGAAAGCTTGAGCTCTGCCATCTAAAGCTGCTCTGATGCTGGGGGACACCTGGGGAAATCAGGTAATCACTTCACTCTTCAAGAAGCCCCACCCTTGCACAGCCCAAGGAGTACTGGGTGTGAGGGAGGTGCCCAGGTCTCCCTGTTAAATCCATGCCAGGGTGTCCCCAGGCCTCAGCAGGGCCTGACCCCAAACCCCAAGCTGAGGTGTAGGACCAGTGTGGCCATGTGAGCACCCAGGTGGAAGGTTGAGCTGGTTTAGTGCATGCACCCTTCTGAACCCCGAATCCCATGAGCCCAGCTCACCTGTCCTCCCCTGGGAAATAATGCTCCTGTTATGGGGCACCTCCAAAACCTGACATCCAAGGTCACAGAGCAGACTTGACTGATGCTAGGAGGCTGTCTCCAAACCCTGTGGGCCTTCCAGCATGTCCTCATCAAATGCACCACAGAAAGCACCTTCAGCCCTGAGTTGCCTTCAAACTCTGTCCCTGCTTCTCCAAGGCTTTGTGAAGTGTGGGAGGCACCAGGATGGAGCAACCTGTGTCCTTCCCTCCCCTGGGCGGCCCCTGCACACCAGTACAGGACCTGAGGTCTCTGCAGCAGCTGTGCCCAGAGGAGGGGAGAAAACCCAGCACCCTCTCCCAGGTGGGCAAGGACCTGCTGAGGTCAATCCTCAGGGGACAAGAGCCAGAGTTTTTGGGACATAAACCATTGACACTCCTCTGCCCTTCTGCCAAATGTTACAAGGGCACAGGAAAAGCCTGGTGGAACTATCTCCCCAGAGAACAGCACTAAATGTTAAGTATTTTGCCCCCCAGAATATTTGGGGTCTGAGATGTGCCTTGTTTTAGTGTGTCTGCACAGCCTCCAGAACCAGCTCCAAGTGCTCCTCTGATCCCACCGTGGCTTTATCACCCCGAGGTAATGATGAAACACTCTGATGCCTCTGCCTCCTCCTGCTCAATTTATCAACACCAACGAGCTAAAGAAGGACAGAGTCTCCCTGGATATCCCATATAATCCCATGGCCTGCAGCCAAAATACGGGATAGAAAGAGCTAAAGTAAATGTGAAAAGAAGGAAACAGTCCCCGAGGAGCAATGTTGGGTTTCTGGGACTTTCCTGGGATTTGAAGCCACGTTGCTGGCTGTGAAAGGGAAGGAAAGGACGAGATGTTTGCAGAGGAAATGCCTCTGCTGCACATCCAACCCTGCCCAGGGGAGCTCACTCTGGTGCCAGCTCCGCTCCCTAATTCCAGCCCCACCTGGAAGTCACTCCAAAATCTCCAGCACTTTCTCTTTTATCTCCCATCCCATCCTCCCCGGGTTGTTTTGGCAGCGTGACTGTTTCAGAGCTGTTTGCTTGTTTATCTCCTGTGCCGGGTGCTTTCATCTCTCTCCCGGAGCTGCTGCGGCTGCAGGCGGGGAAGGGAAGTGCAGGTTCAGAAAGTCCTGCTCGCTCCGATCCCTACAAGGAATCGCTCCCTTTTAGCCCGTTTTCCTGCCACCCCCGTCAGACACTGATGACTTTGTGAGGAGTTTGCAATGAGTCTGATGTGCTCAAAAGCTGATTCTTCCTCGTCAAGGGATTCAGTTGTGTCTGTGAATCTTCATTAAAATGAGCCCAGCACTTTGGACCTAATTTTCCTTCTAAAATTAATGTAGCTACGAAAAGCTAATAATAGGAGTTTGGGAGATTATTTCTATGGAGCTGCATTCTTTCTTGCTTTAATAGGTATGGGTGGGTCCCGAGTTTCTTACAAGAAGGATATTTACTCCCAGGTACAGCAGGCAGGGAACCATGAGGGAAACAAGCACAGAGAGAGCAGGCACAGAGGCAGCAGGGCCTCACACACAGCAGGGTGGGCAGTGCCAGATGTGATCAGCTTCTTATGCAGCTTCCTGAGCAGCTGCCTTAAAATAGAGGACAAAAGTCTACCCCGAAACAGGGACATTTCATCAGCTTGTAGTGGTTGGTTGATTCTCTGGTGCCTGAGAGAATTCTGTGGTTTATACATTTTTTTTGTGTAATTTGAGGAGCTGTGATTATTTTTCCCCATGGGAACATCTTGTTTCTGTTTCATTCCTCTCATCCTCTCACCACTGTGGCAGTGCCTGTCCCCAGCTCGTGCTGTCCTGCAGCTCTGACGTGTCTCTGTCTTGGGTCATTCTCTGCTCCCAAGCTTCTATTTTCTGTCTGGGAGAAAGGGATGAAGGGAGGAGGTGCCAGGCCATGAACAGATGTGTGTGTGCAGCTTTCCAGACAACTGTACAACCTGGGGATGAACGTACCACCAGCCCTGACAGCCAGCATTCCCAGGAGAGGGGCAGTGTGTCAGGAACAGTGTGGCAGCAGGAGCAGGGCAGGGATTGTGCCCCTGGACTGGGCACTGCTGAGGCCTCACCCCGAGTGCTGTGTCCAGCTCTGGGCCCTCAGCTCAGGAAGGCCATGGAGGGGCTGGAGCAGGTCCAGAGGAGAGCAACGAGGCTGGGGAAGGGTCTGGAGCACAAGAGCTGTGAGGAGAGGCTGAGGGAGCTGGGGGGGCTCAGCCTGGAGAGGAGGAGGCTCAGGGGAGACCTTCTCGCTCTCTGCAACTCCCTGACAGGAGGGGAGAGCCGGGGGGGGGTCGGGCTCTGCTCCCAGGAACCAGCAGTAGGACAAGAGGGCACAGCCTTGAGCTGCACCAGGGCAGGTTTAGCTTGGACATTGGGAAGAAGTTCTTCCCAGAGAGAGGGATCAGCCCTTGGAATGGGCTGCCCAGGGAGGGGGTGCAGTCCCCGTCCCTGGAGGGGTTTGAGCAGAGCCTGGATGTGGCATCAGTGCCATGGTCTGGGTGACAAGGTGGGGTTGGGTCATGGGTTGGACTGGATGATCTCAGAGGTCTTTTCCAACCTGGTTGATTCTGTGATTCTGTGACTTCACTGACGTGTCACCAGGCAGAGCCTTGGCCAGGCAGTTCATCACTGCCCTCCCCTGACAAAGCCACGTGGGCCATCTGTAAACAGAGCACAAAGAAACTTCCACAGCAAACGATTAATTCCTCATTATTTACCCAGCTCTGCTTACAGAGGAGTCTTTAGGAAGTATTTTACTGCTGCACCTCTGCAAATCCCAAGGTCCTGTTGTCAGGGGGATGGACACAGGCTCAGCGTCTTCTCCTGGCACAAAACTGACCTTTTCCTCCTGGTTTGAACTCCTCTAAAATACATTTCCACAGCAAAGAGTGGTGTGGAGGTAGCAGAGGCATTTTGCTCCCTCCTCCATGTGTGGAAGAAGATCTGCAGAATGACAGCTCCAAGGTCAACTCTTGTGTCCCCTTCTGAGCTACTTCACCCAAAAAGAACTCACCTGGGAGTGTCTGTACACTTTGTGGACACTTGTGCTGCCATATCTTAGAATCATAGAATGGTTTGGGTTGGAAGGGACCTTAAAGATCATCCAGTCCCACCCCCCTGCCATGGGCAGGGACACCTTCCACCAGCCAAGGTTGCTCCAAGCCCCATCCAACCTGGCCTTGGACACTTGCAGGGATGGGGCAGCCACAGCTTCTCTGGGCAACCTGTGCCAGGGTCTCCCCACCCTCACAGGGAAGGATTTTTTCGTAACATCCCATCTAAACCTTTCTCTGTCACTTTGAAGCCACTCCCCCTTGCCCTGTCACTCCAGGCCCCTACAAATAGTCTGTCTCCATTTTTATTGTGGGCTCCTTCTTGACCTTAACAGAAAATCCAGCACAAGGGAAACCCTCCAACTCTCCACTGCAGTGTGGGGCATCCCCTGGGGATCCAGGCAGAAGGAAGGGAATGCAGAGACCTCAGCATGGGGTTCTTCTCCTTCACTGGTATCTCCTGTGCAAGGTTCCCCCAGCCCTGCCCCCCAGTTTGGGAAAGACATTTTGAAGGCACGGCATGGCTGTCCTCCAGGCTGGGTGTCCCCAAGCCCCTGAAGGACAATGTGCCAGCTGGGAGTGACTCCTGCCTGTGCAGGGACCTGCCCCACGCTGGTACTGGGGGTTGGTTTCCTTTATCTTGTGGTTGTGCACAGAAGGGAAACCTGGGAGAGCTTTCCTTTTCCGTGTCATTACCGTCCCTGTCGTTATTTCCATCACCTCCATGGCCCAACCTGTCTCACTAACACAGGGCAGACTCCCCTTCCCAGCACCCACCCAGGCACCACTCCAGCAGCGTCCCACAGATCCGCCTTTTCCATGGGCTCTGGCAGCCACTCTTCCATTCAGGTTGTCCTGCAGCTCAAGGCACTTCATCACC